AGATGAGGTGTTTCCTTTAAGTAAGGGGCGTACATTTATTAGTGCCTGTCTCGCCATGTTCAAGCAACTACTTTGCATTTAGAAATCCCCAGACGATTGGTAGGTGCTGAGATCTCTGATTGTCTGTAGCTACCTTACACTGAGAATACATAATAGAACATTGTGAGAAAACTCGTACGCTGATTGCATGAGATTTCCTGCAACAGAATGACAACATGTTATCATAAGAGTACAGGACATTACGACGACTAAATTATGACATTTTAAAGGTTCCCTTATAACCTTGTTGGATAGAACAAAAAGTCTACTGCCCATTTGTTTCCAACCTAGTGTGGTTCCAGGCTTCTGAATTGCTGCCCACATCTCCAACTAGGTCTGATATTGTACTCATTGACTCCTGCTCCCCCAGTTAAAAGACACAATTGACAAATTAGAGCTGTGTGGGTTAAGAATAGAGACATCTTTGTCCTGTGCCAGAGCCAGAATCAATCCTCCTCCCCAAAGTGTGGATAAGATCGACTCAGCTGTACAGGCTCTTTTAAGTCAACAACATGAACACTAAAAATAAAAATAACACTTCCTTATTTAGCGTTTGGGATTTGTGTTTGGGCCCCTTAAACAATTCACAATGAACACACATCAATTCTGTCTGATTATAAGGCTAAGATGAACCTGTGCAGGGGCTTAATTGTAATGGTGGTGTCAGAGGAAAGGATATGATGTGATGAATATCAGAAGAGTTTTTTCCTCTTGGGAGCATGAATATGCTGAGCAAATTTGATAGAAATATCCGTATTACATTATGTTGTGTTGTTATCTTCTGCATAAAGAGGGATCCTCTGGGGAGTATGAATGTTCTTTATAAGTTTAATTGCCTGTTGGAATTTCCTGTACACATGTGGATCTGGTGAAAGGCAAGAGGGTCAACAAAAGATTTATCCTCTGTGGATCATGATTGATCGTGCCATATTTCAAGGAAATCTGCACAGCAGTTGTTGATATATTTTTGACTGGACTAAACCAGCCAACCATGTAACATTAACATCCATATGTCTTGCTGTGAGGTAAAAAAGTCACACTTTATTGCCTCGTCTCGTGATTTTTTTCCAGTTCAAATCTCATTGCACTGCTATCTGTGGTTGGCTTTAGGGCTTAGGTTAAGTTATGATTTATGTTCATAGAGAAGACTGGTTGGGTTGAAATATAAGGCTTGGTTCAAGGTAGGGTAAAGTGAGACACAAATTCACTAAACACTAAACATACCCTTTAACTTGTTGAAGCTCTGGGCCGTTTTGCATCAAGTAGCAAAAAACAGTGACTGTTAAGCTTTGTAAAACAATACCCATTAATCATTTACAACAACATCAGCAAACTGGGCAGCAAACTAAATGTCTTCTTCATCTTAGCGTGTGCTAGTCATTGTTGATGAGCTCAGCTTTCTCTAGAGGACCATTGATTCACTGCTGTTTAGGAGACTCAGGACCACTCTAATCACAAACAGAGACTTAATTCTAAACTAGTGGAATTTAATGCTTTGGAAGCTAACCAACTATTGATAACAACTTTATTAAAAGGGGTAATAATGTTGATGGAAAGGCCTAGTTTCTGTCTGCTGGTCGACCATCCTGTAACTCATCAGGTTTTAGAGTCTGTGGTGTAGAAGACTTGGGTTCATTAATGGGCAATTAATCAGCTTTCTTTATTCCACTCTACTTATACTACATTGTTTCTCTGCAATTTCTTTTGCTGCAATAAAATTCTTACATTTAAATGAAAACTGTCACCGATTCATTGTCCGACCAATTGTGAAATATGATCATCAACTCTTGACTTATGGTCAGAAAAACATGTGCGCAAGAATGGACTGACCACCCAAAAACACAATGCTGAAAAAATAATACCTATCCCCAGGGTGCAGAGGCATTAAATCTGAATGAAGTTATAGAAATATTTTGCAATTGCACTTTAAAAAAAGTTAAAGGTAACAATACCTACTGTAAAGTATGCACCAGAGTAAGTTGTGAGACCTCTAGTGACAAAGTGAGTGATTAAGCTTTCTTCACTCACATAATTTTACCTTTAATGCCAGTGAAGATGTCAACATTCCCAAACATACTACATGTAATTTGTCAGGATTTAAGATACAGGAAGGTGTACAAAATCTTGCATGAAAAATTCTATTTTTTTCCACTCGAAGTAACAATGAAGCCTGAAAATGCTGTCCTGGATTTAATTAACTCAAAGCATTATATACACTCCTAGAGAGATAAAAAACAAACCACACAAGTAAAATATTCATAGTGTGGAAAAAAATGCATGTGAAGCTACAAAAGCTTACATTTAGAGGGAAGGTCAAGATGGACAACAACAAAACGTCGGACTTCAGTATGGGAGATTGCTGCTTGTTTCCCGTTTCCAACAGACAGTGAACATTGTTTGTTTTAATTGTTCCCTAACACTAACCTCATATTTATTATTGGAACAAAGATGTCAGAGTTCAACTAGCCAAGTGTTTTTTGTGCCTAAACCTAACCACAGCATCATGAAACAGATGTATTCTTCAACAGTAATTTGTAACAGTTTTGAAAGGCACAGACAATTGTCATGCTGACAGTGGGAGCATTTTTGTGTTTTAGAGGGCATGGATAAATTATTCATTTTGTTTTTTTAATCTGGAGGATTTGTTATAAACTGGGGTAGGAACATTTTTAGAAGATTAAAAACCTCTTTGGGTATCTTCTCAAAGCCAGTAAGAATCATGTACCATAGTACACAGTCATAAGTAAGAAATGTCATGGTAATGTTGTCTAGATATATCGCTCTAAACCACAAATTTCTGAGGTTGAAGTCAGGGGGTCACCAAAGTCCAGGCACCATGTCTGTACAGAATTTCAGGACAATCTGGCCAATAGGTGTTGAGATAATTCAGTCTGGACCAAAGTGGGAGATTGACTGACCAACATTGCTGTGCATAGCAACAAAAACTACAATTATATTTTTAAAAGCCAACTTCTGGATCATCCCCCATTACACAGCTCATACACATTTCAGCCAAGTCTTTTTGGATGTTCTTAAGAGGAGGAGGTGGTACAGTAGCTATGAGTACAATTACAGATTCATAAAAGTAATGTTTTCACTGCTCATATAAATATCAAAGTGTGAATGAAGCTAAACCTGGGTGTTATTTGGTACCAACAACACTATTCTTTAGAACCTGTGAGGCCTTTTGAAGCCCACACGTCTTTTTTCTAATGTTATGTTTGTTGACAACATTTCATCAATCCAGGAAATAAGAGTCCCTTGTTATGTGACATTTTGAAAGGACAAAGGATGAGATCATGCCAATAATTGTTTTAGTTCACTACTCGGCACTGTATCCCTTCAGTAAGATGTTGTAGCCTCTGAGTTTAAAGAAAAGCTTAATTACAAGCAGGGGTGAAGTGGGTCTCACTTTCAGCCCTGGAGGCATGTCAACTGGGAAAAGGTTGCCAAGAAGACAATTAATTCAAAACCAACGAAAACACAGGACCCTCAATGGAAAAATTAATTAAAAACATAAGACTCTAAAAAAATTACTTCAATGGGATCTTAAGTCACGCAGTCAATAAAATTATATTTTCATCTGCATTTTATTTTCTGACAACTATTCTTGTCATATCCAGTTTAACTTTAATCTAATAAAATATAGTATACAGTGTAAAGGCTGAGATGGACAGCAATTAAATTATGTCCAAATAAGATTAAAAGCCAACAGAGACAACCAAAAACACACCAACAATCAGATATACTGTTATAAGGAGATTAAAAATACGATACGTAGCCGTGTCTGCCGAAATAAAATAAAATACAAAAATAATAAAATAAATCACAAGGAGAACTATTCTGTAAACTCACATGAATAACTGACTGTAAAAGGGTGTTTTTAGAGGGGATTTCAAAAGATGAGACAGATTTAGCTAGCCTAATTTCCTCAGGTAGGCTGTTCCAAAGTACCGGTGCCCAAACAGAGAGAGCACGGTCTCCTTCATTTCTTGAGTCGGGATTGTGGAACAACCAAGAAGGGCCTTTACTGAGGTACAATATAACTGGTAGTAATCAGTAGGATTTAAAACAATTATAATTCTAACTCTTACTGGTAGCCACACATTGTTCCTTTCCTACACTCCACCTTGTGTATATTGTCAAAAGTAAGCAGCTATATGAGCAACAGGTTGGGTCAATATAGGACTGTACCACACTGGGGAGGGGTCACTCATTTACTTACCTACTGTAGCCCACAGTACCGGCTCCAAATGGTACAGGCTCCAAAATCCCAGGTCTCCCAATAGACCTTTTTCAAAGCAGCCATTTTGACATGAAATAGTAGGGTAAACACAGGTATTACCAATGACAGTAATAAAGGTCCTGTTCCATTTAGTGTAGCAGAGCCTTTCCAGTGAGCCAACACACACAATAGCAGCACCCCAACTCTTATTATCATTGGTAACACCTGTGTTTACTATTTCAGGTCAAAATGGCTGCTTTGAAAAAGGTCTGTTGCCTCTATAACACTAATTAGTGTGGTTTTACAAATGCACTGTACACATAGAAGGGAATTAAATGAAATAGGATCTTAAATAAATATTATACCAGACCTTTCCAAAAAGGATCCTGTTAGTTATTTATGCAGGCTTACTTGCACTTTGTTAATCAAGTCCGTGCACCACAAATTGAGACACAGAAAAACACTGATGAAACACGAAACTCAAAGCTCCATTCAACAATTTTCTAATGTCCATTTCTTGTGTGTTTATTTCTGTGTTGATTATTATGGCTGTTATTACATGCCAGTGCCAAGAACACCATGAGATTTCCCATTAGGACTATTCTTTTAAACAATGAAAGCAGGCAGGCGGTTTGTGTTTCTTTCTCTCCCCAGCGAGGTTGTTTGTGTGCCATTAAGACTTCTTTTCCAGCTACTGATTTCCTTCTCTTTCTGTTCTCCTTCTCTGTCTTCACAGCTACATTGGGGACCTTGGAATTCAGTTTGCAGTATGACCAGGAGAACAATGCACTACACTGCACCATTAACAAAGCCAAGGTGAGCCGCCATAATGACGATAATGATGACGTTAATTAGCAGCCTCTAAATGGTTGCTTTGATGGTACTTTACAAGAATTTGAATGAAATCCTTCAGTGAACAATTCAAGTGTATCTATCAACGGTTGCTTCACTGCCTCTGCTTTGATCAGTCAGCATCGGTTTGGTTACACTAATACGGAACAAATTGCATCACATGTTCGTACCAGTTAGATTTAGCTAAATTAATCCCTAATGTTGTGGCCATATTGACAGTTTTACTCTTCATTCATTATTGATTGTACAAACACCTGTCACTACCTTGTAACAAAGCACTAAAAGGCAGATCAATATAAACCAATTGACCATTTTTCAATATGTTTTCTAATTCTGACTGTTTTAGATGAATATTTTTTTTACAGCAGCCTACTCTCGTATCAGCCTACACGAACTGGCAAAAAGGCTGTGGAATAGCAACTTAACACGTCCCACATTTCTCTGTGAGAGAGATATTTACATCTATTTTCATCTCATAAAGCATTAATTATTTCTAAAGCATATTGCTAGCAAACAGAACAAGATTTTTGCATCCAACCAATTGAGTTTCTTTGCTTGAAGCGGTGTTAATCAGTAGGTTTTAAATTAAAAAATGATCTAATGTGACTAGCTGATGAAGAAAGCACATAGCAGCCAATGAATCATCATTGGAGTTGGTGGAGACCAAAACAGAGCTCAAAGGAGAGTGAACATTGGACTGTAAAATAACAAATAGTGGCCAAGGCTATAGCTACTTCAACTAAAGAGATACCCTTTTTCATTTCCTCGGTTTTCTAGATATATTATGACATTGTATTGAGAAGACTTTATAATCTGCTCCTGTTTGAGGTGTTAATTTGCCAGTGCTGTTATTTGTTAATAATGCAAGTTTACTTCCTGAATATTTAACTGTTTTTCTGATAAATTAGGAACATCATTTTTCATCATTTCCATTAGTACAACAATATACAGTCCTGCTGTCACACTCACAGCTCTCTCAGTTGGTTGGTCTGCAGTTTCTCTTTTGAACAGAAACTCTCTTCTTCTCACTCATTAATTAATTCCAATCAGATCTGCTGTACCTTTCCTTCTCTCCGTACTGAGCTGCTGACAATAAAACTCAACACTTCCTGCAGACATCTAAAATTCAAAGTCTACCAGCCCAGTGCCAAGCTGGAGCTGCCAGTTGACCCTGGCTCATGATCTGAGTGGCCTAAGCAGTAAAAGCTCAGGTGTAGCTAATAAACAAGACATTTTTCCCAACTTTAAATCCATATCAAGTTTTATTTACTTCATAATGTTACATTTTAGTGTCACTTTTTATTTCATAATGGCATTTACCTTAACAGTGAGGTTGTCACCGCTCTCTCACCATTCAGCCAATCACATGTTCCCTCCCTCTTAACTACTCGATTGAGGATGCCAACGTTGAACTGCCATGTAGCCCTGAATGGACAAACTGAAAGCTGAAGAGCTAACGTATCCTGTACCATATATCAGCTGGCACTAGATCTGGGTAGATTAATGTTGCATTTGAATCAATACTGTTTACAGGCTTCTTATGGACAACCAAAGTAGCATTGACAAATTCTTAAATAATACATAATAACCATTACATCCAGAATACTGCAATAACTGAACCATATTTAATTTTTAATGAAAAGCCCATTTTGATCCAATATACGAGTCCATATGTGTCATCCTCTCTGCTTCCCTCTCCTGCGTTTGTTGTGATGAAGTGGTGGTTCTGACAGCCATGGCTGCCGTCAGCAGCTATAACTCTTCCTATCTGTCTGCCTGAATAGCTGGTATGGAGGAAAGTGGGCATCAGAGGAGCCAGTGTTGGCAGGAGTGTTGGACAGCAGAGTGGGCATGAAGCCATCTTGATTTATGGTGGTTATTTTCTATACTGCTTTGGTCCTGGACTTCAGCTGCTGCCTAGACAACCAAAGAAAATGCCTTTTCTCTCTCAAATAGGGCTACTGTATATCTCCATTTCCATGATTTAATTTGTTTGCTAAATCCCTTAATGGTATTTCTAGCCATAGATTTGTTTTGTTGCTTTTGCTGCCAAAGCTGCAGTAGCTTCAATAGTAATTGTGCCTACCTCAATTAAGCATTTTTCTGATTAGATCGGGAGGAATTGGAGAAGGTTAAACACTTAACTAAATTCTGGGGACTGACATTGGTGCCTGCTGAGCTGGTTAGAATGACAGTGTGCAGTGGTTTTGATGTTTATGCTGCAGTGATAGCTCACATATACACTGCTTATGTTATTATAGCCCTATTGGCATTTGGACAGAAACATAAATGGTGTGCATTGCAGGAACTGACAAAAGGTCACCAGACAACATAACTAAAGCAAACAAAAGAAGTTCAAAGAGGGTGCAAAAGGCCACTGGTCTGATGATTATTCTAACAAGGAAAAAGAGCTGAATTGAATTTGCATTAAAAAAGCTTTATAAATGAATAATGTGTTGTATGTGGGGAATGCAGAGGGCCTTATCTCTATATACAACTCCACCTGCTCAACTACTTTTTATCACACTGACCCTTTCAAAGTGGAGAAACCCAAAATCCAACATGGGCTGAATGACACCCCAGAGCTCTGCGACGAGCAAAACTCAGAAAATTTTTAAAGAAATAAAGTGCAGAAAGAATGTAAGAATAGTTCAGTATTTATCAGAGAACAGTTAAAACTGCAATGAATGAAAGTTAATTATTTTGTGACATAACTGTTAACTATGAAGGAATATTTAAGTTTTCCTTTTATTTCCAAATGTCAAAATATAAACATTTAATTTTGATATCAAGTGCGCCCATTCTTCTCTCTGTCTGATTCTTCTCCAATTTGGCTAATGCAAACCAATTTTAAGCCAGTTTTTCTGTTATTTAGAAACAGTGTCTTGACTGATAACTTGGTCTCTTGATATAAAGCCCTTTAGGAGTTTTTAAAAAACAGGAAATTGACATTATTGGCTCCAGTACTATCTATTTTCAACAGCTCTCCTGCTACAGGTTTTTTAACATACTGTTTATAACAAGCAGTAATTCAATAACCCAACACCTGAAACTCGAAAAAAAATGTGGCTTTTAAAATGCTGTTTCCCAATTTCTTTTAAAACAATACAATATTTTGCAATTAGTCTCGCAATCATCATCACACTGCATTATGGAGTCTCTCAGGGATTCATCTTTGGTACTTTGCTCTCTTCACGTTTTCTCTTGGAAAATTTATTCAGAAGTAGATTTTTTCACAATATAACACTATTGAAAATATTGGATTTCAGTTAACAAAAAAAAAAAACGGGAGGCAATTTAATGTTATATGAACATTAAAACTATGTTCTACCTCTTAGCTCTTGGCCTTTTATATGCCAATGTAAGATTCATAAGACCTGCTTTCTTTACGACTATGGGTTTGACAATTTTTGGGTGAGACCCATTTTGACCATGTAATTCTGGAAGCATGAATAGGTCTAGTTCTGCAGCTGGATTCAGCAGCAAGAAATCTTCCCACATATCATACATTTTAATGTGTCCGGGGCCCTTCATTGCCCCTTCATTCACCCACCCCACACAATACGGACAAAATGCTACCTGCATTATTGCCCTACAATTAGGCCGTCAATCATCACCTCTGCATTTTCACTTTTTCCTTTCTGCTCTATTATTACAAAGAAAATCATATATTATTTATCAATCACCTTATATTTTTCTTTTTTAATGCTTCGTATGCTTCAAAAAGAAGGATTGAGTAATTTGGGGTACCTTTCTTATTCTCATTACTGCACACAGAAATAACAAAAGCACAATAGTAAGGATTTGTTTTACTTATGTTTCTTGTGAATTCCATCATCGATACTCAATGAAACTGATATTTGTGCCTGTAAAATCCTCAGTATTCTCAGTAGATTAATATGGATACTGAGAAACCTGTAAATATTTATGAGAGTGAAGCAATTTGGATAACATATACACAGAAAGGAGAAGTCTGTGGGTTTCTTACCAACTGCACTTGGTAATCTACTTTGGAATTAATTTGTAAGCGGAAATGAAGGGCTCTGAACCATGCAGTAAGAATGAAGGTAGTAGGACAACTAGCCCATAGACTCTCTCTTGTTAACATTTAATTAAATCCTTCACCTTGACGTGTCAGTACTTTGAGAGCCAGAACTATTTGATAATTACCTTTTAGTTTTTTTTAATTTACTTTTACTACTTTTACACCATAGGACCAATTCAAAGACTACTGGGCTTTTTTTATGAGATAAAACCATGTGATATAACGTTATCTTGAGGGGGTATTTACTTTGTCAAAGTGAGCTTTGTTTTATTTCCACACTGGCAGCCATGCCACCAAGCAAATCACTGCTGGAGGGGTAAAACTGGCTCTCATTTGAACCAAAGACATTACAGTGACATCAAATAGTGTTTCAATTAAGCTTGGGGTGTGGGCACAAATAGTGTAGCTATGAGCAATGATGAGTATCTTGGCATCTGTCAATCAAATTTAAATTATTAAGAACATAGTAACCAGTTAATTTGCTTATTATATTAAGTGATTCTATTTAGATAAGTATATCACAATGAAACCTTGCTTTGTGTACCAGAGACATTTAACTTCTTTGGTGCGGTCTAAAAATGCAGACAGATGAAGAAGGAATATTCTTCCATTGTGCAGCATACATCAAAAGGCTTCAATTGATTTCAATCTTCTCTAATGTACACACGTAGAAACCAAAACAAAAAAAATATCTGAAATTGGAGGATTTACAGCCCTTTTTTAGGTGCTAAACAATCAAACTGCATTTCTCTTATTTAGTAAATATAATTTACTTTGCGCTAATAAATTGCAAAAAAAGTGACACAATGAAAGCTGCATGTTTGATCTCATGCCATTTGAATTTTGAGGGGAGCAAAATATGGAATGGGTATGGAAATTCATACAAATATTCACTGCACCTGATTTATCACATCAGAAT